CACAAGTGTTGTTTTGAGTTTTGGTTTTTAATGCCGAGAGAAAGGTTCATATTTTACAAAAATAACACACAGAACTTAGAATACCATTATTCAGCATGTTTTCAGTCATGTGTGAGAAGTCGATTTCATACAACACTACAGTGTGACGTCCGTAACGCTATAATGTAACATCCGTAACGACAAAAATATGATGTTTCCATAAAATCAAAGTAGCTTTCTGTTAAATGTCATTAGTGTTTTCATAGAGTGAAGCTACCGGTATATATACATTTATCTACTAAATTATTATAGTTATTTCATTGGATTGATCACAATATACACTCCTATGTATGTTAAATATAAAAAAATCAGCATCCAATTATCCCCATAATATCATCCAACATGACCAGAACACAGATACATGTATCTACTTAATCTTGACTTTTTGTAAAATCGAGTATAAGCCCCAAGCTCATTTCAAAAATAATAAAAGATTGTTATTTTTTATTTTTGTTGGTGTTGCTAGTTTCCAATAGGGGTTTCAGAGAGCCCTGCTCCTAGTTTAATATCAAAAGTGACCGACATCCACTAAGACTTGCAGGTGCATTTGGTTCCCCTCTGTCCTCCATTTTTTTTTTCTTCCTTAATCCTTTTAGTCCTTGCGGCTGCGAATGCTCGTATTAGGGCGAAGTAGGCCATTCTTGGAATAGCTTTTCCCATATGAATGGGTCGGCTCTCTTCCCACCAGCAGGTGTTGAGCAGGAATCTCTTGCGGTGCACTGCCCGTAAGTTTTCTTGTTTATTTTCACTTCCGTCTGCGGTCCTCTTTTCAGGCCAGCGCACAGCTCCAAAATGAGATTCGATTGTTTCAGTTTGATGAACCGCAATTTCCACCTGAGGGAACTTATTACATGTAGTCAATGTGGTCAGGATTTTTTCAGTGAAGGGAGACTTCAAAAAATAAATTGATTATGTGTACACGTAGGTACATGAAATACACGTGTTTCACTTATGTGAAGTTGAATTTGCACTTTGCTTAAACATCTTGGAAGACAAACCTCCTGTGAGTTTAATTTGCATAATTTGCTTTTCGAATGTAATGATCGTAGCAGATTTTTTTTCTGACCAGGTAACCTTGGAAATGATGTCATAAATGCATATAGAGCATTAAAAAAAATACAGAAAATATAAATGTACATGTATGTCTTCCTATAAACTTCTTGAAAATGTATTCAAGATGTGACTGGTTAGCAGTTAAAGGTACTATAGTCCATCATTTGTAATTTGTGCACTTTGTTCGTTTGAAGCAACAAAAGTGCTGAACAGCTAACCTGATGAAGTTGCAGCTCAGCTTCAGCTGCATTTTTCGAGAAAAACAACATTCTAGGATCTCGATTTCAAATCAAAAGTTGCTGAATCATGTTTTGAATTGGGCCTGAATTCAGCGTCCGATACACGTTCTCACTGAGCCGATTGCAGCCAAGCGATGTCGCGCACTGATCCGACGAATTATAGCAACCGCGCATGTGCATCGTGCCAATACTTGCGCACGCTTCGCCGAATAACAAAACGAACTTCTTATTTGAATTTCCTACGGTGCTTCTTAAGAAGCACCGTTGGAAAGGCCTTCTTTTGTTGATTTCTTCAAAATGACAGCTTGCCGGAAAGAATAATTTCCCAAGGAGTTTAGTCCCCTTACTATCTTTCAACCAAGTATGTTTTTCAACAAGAATTACGCCAGTTACTGTTTGGATAGCTGCAAATGATGGACTCTGGCTTTAACAATTTTTTACTGCATGCTGTAGATGTTGGATATGACGTTTTTAACACCCGAGGGGCACATAGATTTTTGCTATGCGCCCCAAGGGGTTTAAAACGGCACGTCCCATATCACAGCAGTCAACAATTGTTTTGTTATATTGTGTCAATAAGTCAAAAAGATAAATGGTTGAAACTTACTGTGTGAGAAATAAATTAAACCACTGCGATGTAACTTTTGATAACTGAAAGTTTTGATGCCCTGCTATGCCGGACATGAGACTGAGTGGTTGACGTGGCAGTTCTCATTGCGCGAAACTAGCTCGCCGGCAGGTTCCATACGCTTCTAGACCAATGAAATTACAGTATCCAAGCACACGATATAACAATATGAAATGAATAATGAATTAATTACATTTGAACCTTGAGTTTTTCATTTGTTACGGTCAGGCGCGGTTCTAGAACCAATATTTTTGGGGGGCTAGCACGGTGGATCCAGAATTTTTTTCAGGGAGGCGTGCTGAAATGTTGACCGGTTATTTTTTCCAGACACTTAGGCCTCCGAAAATCAATGGTGGGGGGGGGGGGGGGGGGGGGGGGCTCATGGCATATTTTCAATGGGGAGCGCCAATAAAATCCTAAAATCATTCACAATATATTAACTAATGCACCCTTGTCACGGGTATTTCTTCTTTAGGGGGAGACCGTTCGCATGTACATCACAGTCCTTCTTTTTGCTAATGCAATTTTTTTTTTTACGGAATTTATTTTGGGGGGGCTAGCCAAAATTTTTGGGGGGCTACAGCCCACCCTAGCCCCCCCCCGTAGAACCGCGCCTGGTTACGGTCCATGATTGATGAAACTAGCTAGCAAAAAAATATATGTAACGTTCTTTGTGGAAGGTGGCAGTTTAGAGTGCAAACTACTGCTGAACTAAAGTACTGAGCTCAGAGAATAAGCATAGCTACAAATTTTATGCATGTGATGTGCATTGGTAGAAAATGGTTCTAAGCTGAATTTTTGCACAAACTTAAACATGAAATTAGCTCCGACATTTGTTGGAGGAAAGGCAGTTATTTGTACATTCCTCAAAGACGGTGTTTGCATTACAAAATTGAAGTACCTACACAATTTATTATATGCAATATACATAGATGTAGAATGACATCTTAAATACCTGGATGAATTCTAATGCAAACCCCTAGAATGCAAGCATGCAAGTTCACACACAAAATAGAAATGGGAAACATTTAAATGGAGAAACGTGATTATTGCAATTCAGAAACTCTTCAACCGTTTCCTATAATAGGTGTGTATTTATTTATTTACATTGTGTACTTATTCCATTTCTTTAACCAGGGTACCGGTATGCCCAAACAGTTTAAATCAGGGCCATCAGGGCCCTGCATACATTACAAATTATTAACTAATGTTAAACAAAGGAAAACTCATAAGGAAAAAGTTTACTGGTGAAATAGACATCGAACATTAATAGTTAAACATTTTACAAGTATTTCAGAAATATTACGGAAATACATGTAATGTTATAAACACAACACAAGTTCATTTTAAATTACAAGTATGGGGCATGAAGTACTGATTACGGGATGGGCAAAAACCCTGCAAAAACCCTCTTGGGGAACAAAATTACCATGGCAACCAAGTTTATAACTCTGTAAATCAGTGCGTCCTTTGTTTGCCCTTGCATTCTACTTTGTTACTCCACTGGTAGAGTTAACTGTGAAATTCATCTTACTATAAATTCTGTGCACACAAAAAACAGCTTACATGGAAATGCACACGTCTGCCCACATTTGCTCAGGGCCTCTGACTTATTCCTGGATCAGTTGCAATACTCCTTCAAGCAATGAGGACTTTACGTTTTGTGGACTTTACGTTTTGAGGAAACACCTTAGATTTTCTCCTCAACCATTCTTCGCCAGTAGCATTGATTATTTCAATCCCATCTCAGACTCTGAATCCATTTTTTATTCGCTTCTTGCTCCACCCCTTAAATTTAAGTATGTCTTCAAGGCTAAAAGATGCGGTGACCTCATTTTCAATCAGCTTAAGCATGTCATACCATCTGTTAAGTTAAAAAAAAATACAATGTTGCATGTAAAGCAAACATGTTTGATTGAGATTTGTAAAGATTTACATGCTGTTCCAGAAACTAGAATGGTGCCGGGCAATTTGAGGAGGGAAACGACTAAACAGCTCTGGATAATCTGAGGTTTTATCGGCTCAAAATAATTATTAATAAATTCTAGTTTACAGAGTCATCAAATAAAGTTTAAAGTTGAAATGAAACTTTCTGAGAAGTGAGGGCCAATTTAATCTTTTTAAATAATAATATCTGTCTTCTATGTTCACTAGCTTTACATTAGTTTTGGTTACATGCTGGTTCACCCTAACCTTCCCAAATTCTCCAAACTCCTCTTTGCAACATGGAGGATTTTGCACAATTGAGGCTACATGTATACGACAAAAGGCTCATTTCAGAGGATGCACTGTGTCAAGGTCTTAGGCTGGACCTTGTGTTGTTTATGTTTAGCCGTGTATAAATTTAGGCCTGTATTATACATGTACTTGAAACCCTCCACACTGCTCCAGTATGTCACTGGCTCTGCTTAAACATATCGACAGTGATTGCCGGGGAATTCTGCAGGATTGATGCAGTGGTCACCCCTCCAAGGACCACATTCAAGAAATAACAGAGGATTTTGCAGGATTGTGACTGTATGCTTTTAATTTACATGGAGGCAGTTGGAGGATTTTGTAGGATTCAGGTTACATCCTAGCAAAATTGCCTAGGGAGTTAGGGTTAGACTATTGAGACCTAAGTTCTCCATAATTCAATATTGCCTGTCTATTTTGGGCTGGTCTTAAACCCTTTCTCGCATCACAAAGTCACAACTACATGTACCCATTTGAACACATGCCAAAACCAATGCAGCTTCTTTTGTTTCACAATCGCCAACAGGTAATCTCTTGTTGAAAGTGTGAGAAGAACAATGTAACTGAAGAAACTTAGGCAAACAGTTCATCTTGAATGTGTTGATTTGGTTTTTCCACTTCGGCTGTTATAAATCATGTGTGATTTAACTCTCAGTCTGCAATGCTGACCATAGACACTGATACATGTATTTCTGCCATTTCAGTAATGGAGAGGATGCAAACATCAGGTTTTATTTACAAATTACTTGTAGGCTTGTCCACCCTTGTCAATACTGAAATCCCATATTCCCTACTTTCTTCCACAGGAGATACTTCACTATTCAGTGTCAACGAGACCTACCAGCGAGCTCTACTCCACTGGCAGAGGGCAGCAGCTCAGGGTCAGTTTATTAACAGCATTGGTTTTTTTTTTCTCCTAGACCTTGTTTGTAATGTCTTTCAATTCCTGTAATACTTTCACATTCTGAGTGGAAGCAAGTTTCAAAGATTTCAAATTAATATGTTGCGATAACCAATTTGTTAACCATTAAATAATTTTTTTCCCCTGAAAATCAATCAGTTCCCCACTTAATAACATATACCTTTGAAAACTGTAACCTGAATGTTGGTTCTAGAACTGGTCTGTAAACCTCCTAAAGAAACATTTGGTCGTAGTTTAACTGTACCTGCTTCTATCCATGCTCTTCATGATGATGTTGGTTCTAGAACCATACTGTATGAATTCCTGGTCATTAGTTAGATGTAGTTCCTGGGACGGGTTTGTAAGCTCCTCAAGGCAATGTTGGTTCTTGAACTAGTCTGTATCAAAAGCTCCTTAAGAAGATGTTGGTTCTCAAACCGGTCTGTAAGCTCCCCAAGGAAACATTGGTTATAGAACCAGCTTGCGTCTAAGCTCTTTAAGAAGATATTGGTTGTAGTACCAGTCTGTATCTAAGTTGCCCAAGAAGATGTTGGTTCTCAAACCAGTTGGTATCTAATCTGCTCAAGAAGGGGTCTAATCTGCTCTAGAAGATGTTGGTTCTAGAACCAGTCTGTATCTAAGCTGCTCAAGACGATGCTGGTTCTAGAACCAGTCTGTATCTAAGCTGCTCAAGACGATGTTACTAGAACCAGTCTGTATCTAAGCTGCTCAAGAAGATGTTGGTTCTAGAACCAGTCTGTATCTAAGCTGCTCAAGAAGATGTTGGTTCTAGAACCAGTTTGCATCTAAGTTGCTCAAGAAGGACGCCGCAGGTAATGGTTCTATTTATAACCAGTTTGTATAAGCTGCTCAAGAAGATGTTGATTCTAGAACCAGTCTGTATTTAAGCTCCCCAAGATAATATTGATACAAGAACTGGTTTGTATCTGAACCACCCATCTGTCCTTACCTGTAGGTTACACCAATGCCAGAGTGAAGCTTGGGGACTATCACTACTACGGATATGGCACGGATGTAGACTATGAGACTGCAGCCCTTCACTACAGGCTAGCCTTTGAGCAGCAACACAATGCCCAGGCTATGTTCAATTTGGGCTATATGCATGAACAGGGACTCGGCATGAAAAAGGTAGGAAACCCCAATACTTACATTCTCATTTCATGGAAAACACTTTCAGTAGGACTTGATGTTGGAAAATAAAGTGTTGGAAAGTGGAATCCTTAGTTTTATCCATCTACTCCGCCCCCTTTGATCTCCCCCAGTCCCTGTGCCCCACTGGAGCTGTAACAAGTTGCGTACAGGTTTTGGTTCCAGGAAGAGGGGGGTGCAGAATGGCTAATTTTTGTGGTTGCTGCAAAATAAAAAAGTTGGGGGGGGGGGACTGGACACCATCTGACCATTGGGCATTGTTCAAAGCGGACACTTTTGAACACTATCACGCAATAGGTGGCACTTTTCAAGGCAGCATAATATTTGCCAACACTCATACGACTTTGCGGACAGGACGACGATCGTGTGGGTTGTAACACCCCCACCCACTCTATTGACGCCCATTGGGAGCGTCTTAGTACTAGCAGCAGCTGTATGTATAAAAAAAAAAATTGGCAACATGTCACCAGGTGGGCAATTTGCCCCCCCCCCCCCCCCTTCAAGAAAAGACACTGGCTGTATCCTGCTTTGGGTGAAATGCGATTAATGCTAGCTTTTGGTCACTATAAAAGCCCCATTGATACTGTTTTAATAATTAAATACATTCCATTCAAAATCATGATTTTGTTTCCTGATACAACACCTTTAATCGACAAACTGCTGTTGTGGTCATAATATGAGTTTATGGAATGTACAATTGAATTACTTTGGATTGGAACAAGCAACCGAAGGACACCTGCTGAAGGGGAGAAAAACAACTGCATGTTTTTACGTTTGATCGTGTGACAGCTTGTCAATAAGGCAGATGGACAGATATTGTTTGATTAGGAGCCTGTGTTGTTTTCTTTGCTGTTCATCGATCCTCGTGCAGGACATTCACCTAGCCAAGCGATTCTATGACATGGCTGCCGAGACCAGCGCTGATGCCTACATTCCTGTCATGATTGCGCTGTCGAAGTTAGGCATCCTGTACACGTGGCAGTACTTGCAAGAATTTGAGGTAAGGCATGAGCAATCATAAAATACCATCAGCAATTTTTTTAAAAATAATAATAATTATGTGTGGGATAAAAAGGAAATCTTTCATTCAGATTCTAGTAACAAAATTCCTCTAATGTCCGATTTTTTTAATGGAAATTTTGTGGCAGTTTTGCTCAGTTTGTGCAGTTTAAACAAGTTCTTGGGAAAAAAAGTTTTCACATTTGGAATAATGGGTTTTTGAAATGTGAAATTTTGTTTTAGCCCCTGTTCCTTCCCAAAGAGGGAATTTAACTTAGTAAAGAATAAGCAGCAATTCATGGACTTGGGCACAAAGGTACTAGATAATGAATTGTTCTGTTTATAGCCACTGTAAAGCGCTCAGTAATGACTGCTGTGTGAACTATTAACCCATAAGTCAATGTACCACCCGAAATCGACCTGGCTGTTTCTCCCTGTGGCACCCGTCAATTGACTGTTTTTAACAGCTCCCAGCCTAAATAAAGCAGGATTGACTGGCTGTGACAGTTTATGTAACTTGATACAGCTATGCTTTGACTGTTGGTGATTGATAAGCCAGCTGTGCTTACCACTTGCCTTCTTTTGTCTGTTGACAGAATTTACTTGTCAGAGTGCTTGCTTGAAAAGTGGTCTGACTTTTGGTGACTAGCCTGTGTAAAAAGCATGGCAGGGAAGAGGATTGGTGTTTTTTTTTTACTGTCTGTGACTGTTCAGACGGCAGGAGGGTTAATATTTATAATTTTTTTAATGGGCTTTTGCACAGTCAAATTGCCATGACACGTTACATTCTCCACTCAGCTATTGTTGTGGAATTGTATACATCCAAATGTCACACTTTTTTCTGGTATATTAAGAAAGCCATATTACATGAATGTCAGAAAGAACTGAAAAACATAAAAAAAAACATTGTAAAAAACACTACGTTGCCTGATTTGGACATAACCTGCATATTGCCTGTGACTGCTAAGTTATTGGCCCATGTTCATAACAGAAATTACTATACCGGTACGGCGCTACCTCATAATGTATTCATTCTCGTCTCAGCCGAAGTTTACCAAGCGCGCACGCAAGGTGTCACGCACAGGTAAAATATGCATGTGTAGTCAAACCTTCGCACTGGTTACCTGTGCGCTAGTCTACCAATATGCGCGTTACGAAGCCGTCATGGAACTAGTGCATAGGGATAGTGCACACGAGTGAACATTGCCCTAGCAGCATGCAGCAGCTACATGAAAAGATGGGGCAAGCTCACAACAACTTTTTGCCAAGAAAAGTTATGCCCAACTTCATGAAATTTGTGTGCTTATGTATGAGGTATAGTCAAACAAATATAATATGGTTTAGTTCGGGTGGAAAGTCGATATTAGCTCCCCTCGGTATTGGAAGTTAAAAGACTAGTTCCTGAGGCGAAGCCAAGGGATTTAGTCTGTCAACTGCCAATACCTCTGGAGCTACATGTAACATCGACTATCGACCCTCAGATCATGTTTTAATTGTATACTATTTGCTCAGCAAATAACTCACAAAGCAAAATTCGTCCGAGAGCCAATAACAATCAGTGTACGTGTACATAGTATAACATTTGGACTCTTAAGCTGTTTTTCCTCAGCAAATATTTTCTGTGGTTTGTGAAGTTTATGGCTTACATGTAGCTGTTTCATGAATACAGTGTGTAATGGACCTCAAAAACCTGCACGACTTTGGGAATACAGTACATCCAGGCACCATGTCTAGAATCTACAACGTGTGCATCCTATTTTTTGCATATATTTTGTAACCTGACTAGGTTTGTCCAATCAAGGGCATTAGATATGGACTCTGTGAATGGAGAAAAAAAACATTACAGTTTACAGTGTTTGGTACCAAGATGTTCACATGAAACTTGAACTGGGGAAACTTGCATGCTTTATTGAATCCAACGCTTAATTGAAAGGCACCATGTTAATATGATGGAGAGTTGTTCTTGCCAGTATTGGCATGGTGTATGTACCTGTACATACCGGTACACAACATGTCCTACTAAAAATAAAGACGTGATGGATTTACCCCCACAGGAATTCAGACACCCAGAGTATGTTGTGATTGCCGCATTTTTTCGGGGGGCTGGTCGGCAAAAATGAGTGATTTATCATTACCACTTTGTGTTTATTGATCTTATTAGCTCCAGCGTGTAGCTCGTCAGCCGTAAAATGAAATATGCCCGGAATTGTGCCTGATTGATCGTATGTTTGAGCACGACTATCATCATTGATAAATTGACAAAGTTGCTTGTGTTGAGCGACCATTGAAAACGTGTGTGGCCGTTTGATGCACTGGGCTCTAGCTGTGGGTTTGGAGCGCTCAGATTATATTTTGGGAATTAACCAATTCTTCAGTACCTGATTTTTTAAATGCTTTGCAAAATGTAAAGGCACTGAAACAGTAAAGTGTCCACAGTGCAGCACAATTTTGTGTGGATGGGGTTAAAAGGATAATTTAATTTCTGTGGAATTTTTACCATTTTAAACCAAGTTTTTATGTCACTTTACTTTTCCTCATTTTGAATTTACCATTTACCCTTTTTTTACCCGTCCATTCCTTACGTTTAATTTCAAATTTTGGTTCTGAACTGCAAATGTACCTCTGTATGGGAATCTCTGCACTAACAATTTTTTAATTTTGAAATTACTTGTAACATTATCCTTTGTGTTATTAGCATGTTAGTTTTGTCTTGTACCTTTCGTACCTTGTCTTTTCTGCCTGACAGCTGATGTGTCAACTTCTGAAAAACAAGATCCTTGAAAACATTGATAGAATGCATGTATTTCTATGTGTATGTAACATCTGCCTTGCCAAAGCCCTTCTATCTGAGCCCCTTGTCATTGAAAAAAAAATTGAGACTGAGTGATCTGTCAAGCAATGTAACCAAATCTAGAATCACAACTTTGAATTATTATGATTAGAACTCTTCTATTTTCTTTTTTCTTTTTTAATTATTGCCAACCAATTTGTTCCTCAGCATCCAGTATCAATACCAGTATCTGATAACAGAGTGAAGGAGTTAATTTCTAGTCAGATTTTCTTGGCTAAAGAATCTTCTTCCTTTTAATCTTTGTGTTGCCTCCATCATGTCTATCGGATGCCTCCTCTATCGCCTTTCCCAATCCGGCCAATATCCAGATGCAGATACTCATCTGTAAATACTTTGCTAGAGCCACCCTTAACGTCCCAAGCACGCCCAAGTTCAATAATTTCACCCTCGGCGCTTTGAAGACGCCGGTCCGCCGTGTACCTCGGTGTGATAACACGCAGTGGCTTAGATGGGTATCATATGATTGGCTCCCACAAATCATTCTCACAAATTAAGGGTTCATCGCAAATGTCGCTGTCGGTTCTGGGGTACGCCTTCTGGGGTCAAGAGTCGTAAATCTTTAGCAGATAAGAATCTCTAGCTTTTAGCAAGTTTGATTCGCTGCCACAAGGGTTTTACTCCAGGTTTGGTTTTGTAACATGCCAGCGAATGATGTTTCACTTTACAAAGTTGTTCTTGTTTTTCATAACAGCTTGAGGAGTTTGGACAGTGATTCAGGTTTTTCAATGTAGCCTGGTTTGATTTTTTTTTGTGTGAAGGTAGTGATCCTGGAAACTCGCAGTGTAGGGTTTCCACTCTAGCAAAGGGGCATTCGCCGTGAAATGTGAACCACAGTAGCACACTCTTGACTTGTTAATGATTGTTTGCTCTTCTGTGGACACGCACTTCTACTTGAAGTCTTTGCTGTTTCAGTGTATTTTCCTAGTTTGCAATTCCGAGAAAAGAAAGAGTTAGTTTTCAGTTGAACATGCAATGCTGACGCAAATGTACACGCATGCAGAAGGCACATGGCCTCAGAATAACACCCCGAGTAGATGAAGTTTTCATGGGTAAACAGAGCTTAGACAGCCAGGATTGATGAAAAGTACATTCGTAACATCTTCATCTCTGGCTTGTGGGGATTTTTTTGGGCGGGGGCAGTTTTAAGTTTGCAGGTCTTGATTGCCATTACTAACCTTTTGGGCGTGTTTACTTACCCTTTGCTATTAGTTTTTAAAGCCTGTAGGATTATTATCCAATTTCCAGTTTATTTTCATGATAAGTAACATTGGGATGCTTATTTTTTTGGCCACTCTGTCATGCAACTAAGTTGCACTAGCCTTGCAGCGTTTATGTATAATTGTTTACTCACCCATATTCCAACAGAATATGGTCAATTTGGAAAATTCATCCCTCCATTCGGCAGCTATGATTATGAGATCATGTGTAATAGTCTGTTTCATTCCGCTTACTCAACAGTTAAAAGCCCTTAATCAGGCAAACTGATTGTCTTGCCATGTCGTACAATCCTTCCGAAGCATGCGTCTCAGGTGACTCTTATATTAGAACACTCCATTATTAAACCCTGACTCCCTACTGTCTTTTACTCAGTACTTGACCAAGTCCGCCAAAATCCATATCTGACCCTGCTTCACATAATGCTTTAGGACCAAATCCACTGAAATCCACCACAAGACCTCCGCTACTATAGGTGGATTTTGATGTACATGTACTTAGTGCAGATGGCTTGTCTGCCAAAATCTCCCAAAGGGGGATGGATTTTGATAGAGTTGGGAAGATTAGGGTTAAAAGAAAAAGATTGGGGTTATTATGTCTCATAGGCCATCGGGTTTGCACTTGCTATGGCAATTTTCAGATCTGTTGAGATGCTTTCCAATCCTGCCGTTTACCCTCAGAAGGCATGTTGCAATTGCATGGTTGTATTAAAGGTATTTGATTTTTGGTCCAGATCATTCAAATTTTTTAATTGATGTTTTGAGATAAGAAACACACATTCAGAAACAAACATTCACTTGTGGAAGGCTCATGTTGAGCACTGTCAAGGTTGCTGGGTGCTGACAGTACACTCAGATTTCTGGTTTTGAAAGTACTTTTAAAAGCATAGTTCGAAAATGTGTTTTATGAATTTAAAGGAAAAACTACTAAAGAGGAAAATGAGACTTTGAAGTAAATATGTTTGTTGCAGTTTACTAGGCCCATGCATTTTCAAAAAATGTATTCGATTATATTAACTTGGACTTATCAAATGTTTGAATATATTCAAAATGCACTGATGAAGTTTAACATGCACCGGACTAAACTAGCCGACGATCAGGAGTCGCATATGCCAGTATTTGTTGAAAATTGACAAAGATCTTACTAAAATTATATTGAGAAGACGTAGCGGAACGGCTGATATTTTACCAATTTTAAAGAACAAATTTGAGCTAATACTCCAGCTCTCAAATCAGGCACTAGTGAAAGTTGCCTTTGACAAAAGTATGACCTCTGACAAACAATAAAACCACACAACTCAGAACATCGTGCACTTTTTGTTTTTTTCATCATCTCCTTGAGACCATTCATATTTTTTTAATATTTGAATAGAGAAAGTACTATGCAGATTTCAGTTGATGATTGAATATTCAAAATACATGTATTTAGCACAGCCCTAAAGTTTACTCAAGTCATGGATGCTCAAATTCACTGGTGCTAACAATATGGATGAAGACGAAAAGAGCATTCTGATAGGAATTTCGAGTTTTACAACCAACCGGTTCTGTTCAGAATTACACATCTTCCCAAAAGAGATTTCCACTTGGTGTCGCTACACTCACTGGTTAATGTCAGTTATTAAAGAATTTTTAGGTCAATGTCTCTCATTTTCTCAAAAAGATCATGCTGAAGTATTTTTTCTGGATTACTTTTTCTTGAAAAGTGACATAGTTCTATGGAAATATTTGCAAAATGCCAAGCCAGACATACACACATCCAGGAGGTTCTTTACATTCCATTCATAGTTCAATTTGGTTTTCAACTTCTTAATTTCAATGTGTACAACTGTTTTAAGGCTTGTTGGTGTCTCTTTTTATTATAAGACGGTCCAGTGGTTACAGCCTTACCTATGTGTAAAGAAAGAATCCCTAAGTCTGGGTGATTAATGAGTTAATATATATTTGATTCTTCGAGATTGAATTTCAAACCATTCGCAAACCATTAACTCTGCATCACCCATTGAGCAGACAGATACATGGACCGATTAAAATTGCTGGAATTTTGCTGTAATTAAAAAAAGATTCATACATGAAACGGGGGCCGGTGATGATTCAATGGGCTCCAGCTGGAACATGAAAACGCATACAGTAGCAAGGCTGTCTGACAGCACTAAAAGCAATAAAAGTGATATGATTACTACATTCCTCCTGAATGGTGGTATACCAGAGGAAATGCCATGGCTTGTCAGTTGATGAACCATGATCAATGAAATAATAAATCGGTCAGGGTTGGGTTCTGGGTTCCTTTGGTCGGGTAGTGTCAGTCAGTCAGAATGAATTCTCATATACATTGTATAAATACCTGCTCAGTGGAGACATGAATTAAGGAGGAGGGGCTAGGATGAAGCCGCCTCCCGTTTGAAGCCTGATTAAGAGACCCATTTTTTACAGTTACTCCAGAACAAAGTGAGCGATAAGTAAGCCTGAATGAGAAGAGTCCACCCAGTTATATCAGTGTACATGTACATTATATCATATACATGTACCTCATATCATATACATGTACCTCATATGCTGAGTTCTCAATCCATGAAATTAAACATTTATGATTTTTAAAACATTTAAATGTATAAAGTCTGTAACATTTAAAAGTCATATTCTACAGGTTTTGCTATTGACAACTCATTATAAACATCTCTGGCTTGAGATCAGCGTTTAGAGGAAAAAGGTCAAGGACGCGTCTCAGAGTATTTATAAAGGTTTTAGCACCAGTTCATAATCTGTTTGATTTGGGGTCCCATAAATGGTTGTATTTTAGATATGTTTGGGTGCACCATGAAGTGATAAATATGATAGTTTCGCTAGTGTGATGGATCATCAATGGATTCTGCGACTATCCATTATACATGTACGCATCCCTGTGGTGTATTTGGAAGTATGCCATTGATCCTAAAGCGTTTTTTTTTTTTTTAGCCAATACACTTACGTGTCATTGATTTAAATTTATATGGCAACGATCACTGTGGTACATGACTGACACAATATATTGAAAGTCATCTAAATAATCCGCTGTCAACATCCACACGCCGGGAGAAAGCCTCGCGGAGTGCACCCTCCGTAACCCGCTGCCATCACTGGCAATCCCTGGTCGCACTAATTCTCCAGAATGCTAGACAATTGATTGCTTGTCTAGTCAATGCTGATCAACTCTTGTGTTTTGTTTTGGGGTTTTTTTTGCATTCTTATGGGTAAGTTGTCGTTAGGATGGTAAGGCCGGGGTGGCCTTTTGATCGAATGAGACTATGACACCACGTGAGTCTTGTCTTATGAGGCGGCCTTGCTCCCATCAATCTGTCTCTCATAAAAAAATTCCTCCCTGTTGCTCTGCATCATTGACGCATCCTTTAAGATGTGATGGCCTGTACCCTTTTTATTACTGCTAGAACCTCTTGACACTATTTCTCAAGCCACCCAAGAAATTATACGATTACTACCAGTGCGTGTACTTCACGAGGTTTATCAGTGGAGCAACTGTTGGTGTTTATCAACAAGAAAGGTTGGGTCAAGGCCCAAGGGCCAGACCTCATGGGTCAGATTATCCAATTCGGAACATGATTCTCGAAAAAATGAAACTGCACAAATGAGTGAACCTTTACTACTAAATGTGTTATTGTCAGTCTTTTTTCACAAAATACAGTTCAGGTATTAACCCTAAGTCCTAGCCATTACTTTGGGATAAAGAACTGAGTACTACTACACAAATTATGTATGCAGGCACCAAACACCAAACAATTGCTACTGCATTCTACAGTTTACTATACCAGTAGTATTTTGTAGCTTTAGGTGAGGTTTATAGGGCTAAAAAAAAATGCAAAACGTGTACTATGTGCACTCACAGCTTGTACGCCGGGCTGAATTTTTGCGGTTTTGCTTACGGACGGATTTTTTGCTGAAAAGAAAGTGAAGCAGAAAATGCCACAAATTTTAGCAAGGAGTTTTGGAGTGTGGGTATGCAGAGATCCCTCAACTAAGGATTCAATGCGTACAGGGTAAGCAAGGTTTACATAAATGTATACTACCACTGTATTTGACACACATAATGGTGATAATAATGACATAATTCTGTGTTTAGCAGAGTCATAAGGTCCAAAGCTCTAGATAAATGAAGAGTACTGTTGCATTTATCTAGAGCTAGTGGTATCCTTAAACTTGGACACATTGCAATACTGATTGCTGTCTTTATCTTGTCATATGGGTATGTGCACCTGTTCATTATGGAGCCATTTTGTCTCCAATTTGTAAGTATACATGTACCATTAACAAGAACTCCATCTTCGACACACAACAGGCAACTCACAAAATAAGCACTGTTCTTTTTTATATTTCCACAGTATGCAGAGCAGTGGGAGCAGCTGGATATGGAGTCTAGGTTTGGACCTCATTGGGATATGTACCTGGTCACCATTCTACTGGGCCTCAATGTCATCCTTGGACTGTACGTCCTCGCCAGGCGAAATTATCTCTAATCTCCACCATTAAAACTCCAATTACTTTTCACGTGACTGGTAATGTTGATTTTTATGTCATGGGGTCTGTGTTATTCACGTTTTTGTGTTAGGTTTTAATCTGTTATTTGTTATGTTTATTTTTGGTCAATTTTATTATTTTACTTGTTAGCGAGTGAAGGGACTAATTTTCACAGAGCCGCTAAGGAAGCAATATTTGCTTTGAGGAAATCATTTTGGGAAGCCGCAGTGTATATCTCACTGTGGTAATCAATCGTGCTTAGCGAAGCATTTCTGCGCTTAGTATTTTTTGCATGTGTTCTGTGAAATTTTCCTGAAGTTGTGTATTTTTTATTTGTATTTTTTTGTCCAGGTATCTTTGAGTGCCCCTGTAAGTGTGTTTAAGTGGTGAACTGTTCTTTTCCATCATAAATACTTTTATTTTTCCTGTCCAAAAGGTGTTACCAATAAATAAATTAGGCGTGGGCGACTAGTGAATTTCAGTAGTCTCGACTGGTTGCGATAAAAAGTCACAACTAGTCGTGACTACTAACACATTTAATTATCCAGTCAAAGGACCACTTTACTAGTAAATTCATTATTTATGTGCGCATGCGGCCATGTGCATAAATGTCGGCAAAGAAGCAAAATTGGTCCATTGAAAGGTTACGTCTCGATAATCCGACGTATATTGGTTCGACGTCCCATTGGTCCAACATCCCATTGGTCCGATGAAACATAATACTGTGTTTACTGACCCTAACCCTAATCCGACATCGGACCATTGGGACGTCGGACCAATGGGACGTATAGACCAATGGAATGTATGGAGCAATGGGCCGTCAGACCAATGAGACGTGGGACCAATGGGACGTCGGACCAATGGGACTTCGGACCAGTGAGTTGGACGTCGGACCAATGGGATGGCGGACTATAGAGACGTCCCCCATTGAAAATATACAAGGATACAAACGTTCTGGTCATTTTCTCTCAATTTCTCCAAGATTTGTCCTTTTTGAAAGAAATTTGAAGACTGCTGTCTGTACAGGTAGGCCTATGTCTTTGTGTGTAACCACATTGTTTACTGTACACGTGCACTATTTCATGTACAACAGGGCATACAGTGTGTAGGTGCAGTCACGCTGTGTGACTGTCAGCGTGTACTGCATTACACAATGTTACACATGGGCTATTCATGGACTGTGTAGTTGCTTCAGAGTTACAGTGCAGCGACTATTCGCGGTATAAGAAGAAGTCGAATATTTAGATATTGATAGTCGTGACTACAATGCATTTTAGCATTGGCGACTAGTCGCACTAGTCGTACACGCCTACCAATTATTGCACCATATTACGTCTGATCAGTATCATACATCATGTACATTGCATTTGCAGTCTTCTTTTGAACAAAGTTCTTCCCATATAAGCGGAGGTGAGAAATGTCAGGATATTTTCTGATTTCAGGATTCTTATTATTGTTTTTATTAATCATTTCTGGTAATGAAACCAAGGATTCCTCAAAAGCCTGAAGAAACCTGTGGAGAGAAGACAATGAGAAGAAGTTACAGTTTTAGAGGTGGAAGGAAAAGCCCAGAAAGATAAACTGGGGAAAACCCACGGAATTAGGCAGGGACTGAAAACCCAATCCACATATTGGCCCAGGCGGGATTCAAACCCGAGTCACAGCGGTCATGGGCGTCGCGAGGGGGGGGGGCAAGGGGGGGCACTTGCCCCCCCCCCCCCCCCGGAAAAGAAAAGAAAAAAAAAAAAAGGAGGAAAAAAAAAAAAGAAAAAGAGGCGCGAAGACAAAGTGGTGTAAATTTTATGAGTGGGGGGGGGGGGAATGTCCCTGCCCCCCTCTAAAACTGATAAATCGAGAATGTGTTGAGAAATACAAGCATTTTTGGCAAAAATTTGTTTTGCCCCCTCTAGAAAAAATCCTGGCGACTCCCATGACAGCGGTGGAAGGCGAGGAAAGTACCACTTCGCCAACCTGACTCCCCATTTAAAAAAAACTTTGCAAAATCCCTTTTGGTTTTACCAAAAAGATGATATTGTCTACGAAAGCTAGGCATGTACATGTATGTATAAGTTTCGTAGGTAATATCACACAATAATATAACAAAAGAAAATGATATTTTGAGGGTTACTTTTAGGCAAATACAAACATAAATCATAGACCCTGTGTTGCTGTGGGACCCTCGCAACCCCCCCCCCCCAAAAAAAAATAGTCTGTTGATTGTTTGATTGATTTATCATTTTCCCCAAATCTCACCTCTGTAAAAGATTAAAAATTAAAAATAGACCTGTGTATATTACAAATACCGGTACACAAATCTTCCTCTACATTATTGTTTTTTTAGTCATTTCAATGCTCTTCTGTTTTAAACTAAATATTTGAGTAGGTTTTCCACCTAATTCGGCCTAATTGTTCTCTTCCATTTTGAATATAAATTTCACCAATGTTCTGCCACATTGCCAAAGCAAGCATGGTGTATATGTATTTTTAAGGTTGGTCATGACTACCGCTGGGCGAGTATGCAATTACTCAAGTACTCGCGTGTAGTTTATGCTACTCGTTGTTCTACTTGTGGTTTTTTTTATCTACTCGAGTACTCGTCCTGGTGGAGGTAGAAGCAGGTACTCGCGAGTAGCAAAATTTAGCTTTAGGGTTCACGGCTTAAAACGTCCCCTCCAAACACGGAATCACTCCCGCCACCTCCCTCTCCCAATAGGATTCCATTCGTCAACAAAAAATAAGAATTTGAAGTAAATCATTCAACTGTCGCTTAGTAAGGATATATCACTGCTGAAGAATGTAGTGTGACTTTGGTTATAGTTACTTCTGGTCATTTTTCTGCTTTGATGGGAATTCAGTTAACTACTCGCGAGTACTCAGCTACTCGTGAGTAATTTCTTTGTGATGAGTACTTGAGTAGAAAAATCCAGTACTCGCCCAGGCCTAATCATGACTGACCTCCCACCTAGCAGTGCTGTAGTGAAGTCTGTCACAAGTCCTCATCATACGTCGATCATAAGTCATTCAGTGCCAAGTCAAGTCACAAGCTGTCAATATGTTTTTATTGTTAATCCTGTTGCTTGTGACCGTGCTTGTGAATTGACATGTGATTTACTCGTGGTGGACTCCACTACACACAACACTGCTTCCAAAGCTATGACGGATATTGGAGTTAACACATACAGACACAAAATGCCCTAAAATGACATTGTACAGGGTAAGTAAAAAAAAAAAAAGCGGAACCCAAAAACAAATGAAATATATTTCATTTTAATAAACAATGTAGCACCAAAATTACTTAAGACTTGGAAGCCCATTTATTAAACTACTCTTAAGTGAGAATGATTTCACTTGCTGTACATGTTAAAATGTTATCACTTTTTTAAACGAAGTAGCCCACAAAGCACTTTTGTCAAAAATATCAAATTTTTCATCAATTTATTGTGTGATCTGACTGTTTGGAACAACAACAGATTGACACAGACTACTTGTTTCAACAACTGTAGTACACAATATCTTTATTAACAACCCTGCTTTAGCTAACAATAGGATTTATAAAATCCACTTCTGTTTTTAAGACGGGCCTAGCCTTCTAAAGGAGTTTATTAAATATGTGTAACTTTTAAGCTGAGGTTTTATCGCTGGTGATGTTTGAAGACATTTCGTTTAAATGGTGATATAATTTGAACGGATGGAGCAATTGAAGTTTTTTTTTTTCATCTAGAAGTAGTTTATTAAATTGGCTAATACCAGTCATTATTTTCGGTGCTACATCTCATTTAAATATGAGATATTTTTCTTTGGGTTTGGGTTACGGTTTTTTCCCTAACCTGTATGATGTTATTCCATTTTGGAATATCTATTTTTTTAAACATTGGTAAGAGAAAAGGGTATAGGCAACCCACCACCCACCCAAATCTGCCGTAACAAACAAAAAAACACGGAGAAAGTTGGACAAGTGGTTTAAACTGCAGTCCGTATACTCATGGCATTTTTATTTGTTTCTGGTCCCTGGGTTTGTAATGTTTGCTTAGTGCTGAATTCGCATAGGCCTAACTACAAAAATCCTCGGAGAAATTGGATTAAGGACGCATATTCATTGTGTACTCCTCACTCTCTATAATTCATTATTTAGGCCTAACCAGATCGTTTACATGGTGAGACATAACGGTGTAAAAAGTACGAACATTCATCATATCTAATCTTATTCAGTAGATTTTGATATTCCTTGTAAATTTGAATTTGTAAATTGGTAGCACATTGTACATGCAATAAGTAATTGATATGTTTTATTTATAATTGACAGGATGGTAATTTAATTTGCTTGATTGGCACCATCGGGTTGAATAGCTTTTGCTGTTGCCATTATTTCACTTATTTGCACATTTCTAAAATTCATTATTGGGCAAGGGCTCAGCACCTTCGAAACTTTAAATTTGCTGAAATTGAAGATGCGGTACTTTGCCTTGAGATTGATATTTACTTCAAATTGTGGAATGCACTTTTTTGTTGTTGATTACTTTGTGAAGTGGCAAACTGGTTAAAAAATACATTACATTTTCTTTCTTTGTGGAAGTTTAATATTAAAACATATTCAAAGGTGCAAACAATCAAGGAAAACGCCCTTGTACCTGAATTGGTGATGCCTATTTTGCGTGTTTTTTTTATCCAGTTCCCTCCTTTACATATATTGAAATAAGGGTGAGTTTCACATTCAAACAGGAATTAATTTTCTGAATTTGTATGTTTGCCTTGTCAGATTCACATTAAGAGGATTTTTCAGCATTCTCTCCGTAAGTGGAAAGCATCACGGACCAATGAAACGTGGTTGGATAACAATCAAAAGTACTTAATTTTTGTCGAGCTGTGGAGGAATGTTTGGTCACAACATGTACCTATATGTTCCGGCACACCTATATGTTGCGGCACACTTATAATACCGTAGTCTTACATAGCGCACGTATCTACAAACAATAGGCATATACTCGAGTTGCTGGAAATTATGTCTATTATTAAAGACAGGTTAACGAAGTTAATGAGAATATGAGACCCGTGCACCATGTTGCACCTTGAAAGGGTTTACAAGGTGCTGCGGCGCATATTGCAGCCACTGCCAGACACACCAGGGCAAACCCCTTCTCTTAGCGATACGCGTTACTGGGTTCTTTTACGTGCATTACATAACAAGGACGAAGGAATATTGGTAAAGTGCCTTGATCAAGAGCACAACCACCATGTTCCCACGGTCAGGATTCTAACCCATGTACCACGGCACACGAATTGAACACGGTAACCATTGGACGACAGCACCTACACCATTACCGACACACAAAGGGTGTCGGAACTTAGAGCAGTCACCGGAATGTTTTACCTTTTTAATCAGAATCTCGACAAACAACGCTC